CGGCTTTGCTCCTTTTCGTCTGGTTTACGGCCGCGACGTCACCACAATGCTTGACACCATGCTGCAACCAACTCTGCCGGACACGATTACCCCGGACGCAGATGTTTTTGTTCAGCGTGCCGAAGACGCCCGGCAGCTGGCGCGCTCTCAAATTTTATCGCGGCAAAATCAAGATGCACGCCGATACAACACCCACCACAGAGCGGTAATATACGAACCCGGTGACCTAGTCTGGGTTTGTACTCCTATACGTCAACGGGGACGCTCAGAAGAATTGTTATGTCGGTACTTCGGACCCTACCGAGTTCTTCATCGCCTCGGCGAAGTGAACTACGAAGTTGTCCCAGCAGACACGTCACAACGTTCTCGCAGACCACGCTCCTCGGATGTGATTCACGTCTCCAGGATGAAGCCGTACTATTCGCGTTGACTGCAAGTCAAGAACTTTGTGATGTGACAATAGCCTTCAAGACAATTGTGCATTACTTTCTTGCTTCTTTATTTTTCATCTCGTCCTTTTTCTTTTCAAAGGACACAGACGTTTCTGACTACCTTTCGTTGTTTTTCGGAGCCGTGGTATTCATGCGATGCTTCTTCTTCTTTTTTTTTTTCTTTGGGGAGAGGGTAATGCCACGCTGTGTTGGTGGCAGAAGACGAGAGCGAAGAAGTGAATGGCAGCTGTGGCTGAGTAAACAGTCCTCTACTTCGAGTTCCTGCCTATCGTTTCCTCTCGCGATATATATATATATATATATATATATATATATATATATATATATATATATATATATATATATATATATATATATATATATATATATATATATATATATATATATATATATATAGAAGAATAACTTCGGTTGCCGCAAGGTTATAAATATGAAAGTAGATGCGCTTTCACATAACAACTGTTTATTGTGCCGACGTTTCGACAGGAACCCTGTCTTTTTCAAGGCATGCCTTGAAAAAGACAGGGTTCCTGTCGAAACGTCGGCACAATAAACAGTTGTTATGTGAAAGCGCATCTACTTTCATATATATATATATATATATATATATATATATATATATATATATATATATATATATATATATATATATATATCCTGCCCACGGCAAGTTATCTTTTCACCCACTTTTCTTCATATTTACATTACAATTTGGTCTAATATCTTCCCCTATACTTTCCTTGGCATTATTGTCTGTTAGGTCTCATTATTATTGTGTAAAAACACAGAAAAACGAGCCCTTAAGTATACACTTCTTTCCTTATATATATATATATATATATATATATATATATATATATATATATATATATATATATATATATATGGTCCAGTAGATCCTCCGTGAGCGGTCACAACGTGGTTTATTTCGACGTTTCGGCCTAGAGTCTGGCCTTCATCAAGATTAAAGGTACAGTTTGTTGGTGCTCAGCTTTATACAATCTCAAATCAGAGGGCAAGGAAAGAGGAAAAAAGACAGAAAAGAAAAAAGAAAGAAAAAAAAGAAAAAAAGGAGAAAAGAAAATGAAAAGAAAAAGAAGAAAAAAGAGAAGAAGAAGAGAAAAATAATATACGGTGGACTCCCCTCGGGCGCCCCCCTTCCACTCTTCCCTCCACTTCCCCGCTCATCTCTCTCCCCCCTCTCCCCTTCACCTTACTGATGTCAGCGATCTGTGTATGTTTCCTTTCACTAACGCATTCCTCCCGGCCAGACGGCGCTTCCTGGCACTGGCGGTTCGGTGTGGGCGAAAAAGAGCTTTTTTAGGAAGTTCTAAGCCTTTAACTACTCGGAGGCCCGTAAACAATTCGTCGTAGAAGGAGGGGTGCCGCGTATTGTGGCAGAGGCTGGTAAGCGGGCATTTTAGGAAGTTCTAAGCCTTTAACTACTCGGCGTCCTGTCAACATTTCGTCGTAAAAAGAGGGGTGCCCCGTATCGCGGTAGAGGCTGGTAAGCGGGCGCAATGCGAATTCCTTGCCCGCTTCTGGATTACGCGTGTAGTCGACTAGTCGGGGCTTCCCGGCTGTGCACAGGGTTGCTGTTGGGCATGTCATGCATGGCACAATTGAATGGGTAGTAAAATAAAACAGAAAACAGACGACAGCTGCACTTAGGAAGAGTGGTTACACTTGGAATTGTTTTGGGTTGACCAGTGCCCTTCGCAGTTGCAGTGCCGTGAACTCATTTACTATTTTCATTGTTGCCGTTATTGTTTTCTAATGCTTTAATTGCTGCAAGTGTACCAGGATTCTCATTTATTCCTCTATCGAGGGTGTATATATATATACTGGGAAAAATAATCCAAGTGTGAGTACTTATCATATGAATGGTGTAAGCTTAAAGGGGCCTGGAACACTTCATGAGCATGGTCAGAAAACGCCGCTAATCGGTAGTAGAGGCTCCCGACAACACACGAGCCAAATATTATAGTACAGCACGCGGCCTGGAATCCACAATAAATAATCGAAGTCCGCTAATAATTTATTTCTATTTTCTCGACAAATGACGGAAGACGCTCAAAAATCTTTCGTGGAAAGCCTCTCTATCGGTCATTTGCTTATTTGAACATGGCGCGCTCGGTCGTTACAGAGATCGCCGCAGGAGCCCGCGACTTGTCCACGCGTACGCGCGCGATCACCGTAAAAAGTCTGCGAATTAGAAGAAAAAGAAAAAAGTGCTCAAGGTCGCGAGGTACGCGTGACGTACTTTCTTTGCGCCTGCCATCCCTCCGTGCTTAGCTTCCAGTGCTTTTGTCGGAACGATAGAAGAGAAAATGCAATTGCAGCATGCCACAAATCTTTGTAACTGGATCCACTCACCCTGGACGGATTCCTAAAATGTTTGCGGCGTTGAATTCGTGAGGCAATAAGCTCTTCCAGTGAATTCATTTCATGGTTACTTGAAAAATTGTTTCAGGATCCCTTTAAAAGCCCCGCCGCGGTGGTCTAGTGGCTAAGGTACTCGGCTGCTGACCCGCAGGTCGCGGGTTCTAATCCCGGCTGCGGCGGCTGCATTTCCGATGGAGGCGGCAATGTTGTGCTCAGATTTGGGGCACGTTAAAGTACTCCAAGTGGTCGAAATTTCTGGAGCCCTCCACTACGGCGTCTCTCATAATCATATGGTGGTTTTGAGACGTTAAACCCCACATATCTATCAATCAGGATCCCTTTAAAACAGGTATCTGAATACAAATATCGCGGTGTTTATTTTACATCTTAGCTAAGGTGTACATTGCAGCAAATTCTGGGAAAGTACTGGAATTTTCGCAACGAAATGTAAAATATTTCCTGCTCCTACTAAAGAATTATTGCTCAAGTCCAATGTTAGCCCCTTATTGAATATGCCTGCACAGTTTGTGACCCTCCGGCTGAGCGAGACATTGATAAATTGGAAAGGATCCCAAATTTATCTGTTCGTTTTCTATAGGGAATTTACAGTAGAAATACTGGCATGACAAGACTGAAACAAACATTAGATTGGGAATGCTTATACAGAACCGTCGACACAAATTGTGATTGAAGTTCAATTCATGCTGTTCATCATAGTCATGTCGGAATCAATAAGGCGATCGTAATATTTACTTGCATCGAATGTCTCAGACCACGTTGACCATAGGTTCAAGAAAGAGAAATCGCATGCAAGACTGCCATATTTCAATGATATTTTTTACCAAGACAATCAGAAATTGGAACCAACTGCCTTCTAGCATGGCCTCTACCATGTCAAATGATTTATTCTCTGTTATAATGAGTGTGTAGCATTTTTGTGTGTGTGTGTGTGACCTGATACATGTATTTGTGTTGTGGATTGTGATTGGGGTGACTTTGATTATTTGTATGGTTGACAATGTATCTTTATTTTGTAATTCCACCAATTGGTGCAGTGGGTAATGAAAGAAATAAATAAAAGAATTGCAAATTTAAAAGCTTGTTTTCTTTGTTAGATTCAATATTGATGAGAATGATTAGACAACAATGCCAAGGAAATCATCATTGTGTGTTAGTTTTTATTATTATACTGCAAAATAAGCAATATTTTTTCACATGTACTCAATCTTAATTGTTCGGCAATTATTTCAATTGCCTTTCAACCCCCCATGCCTACAAAAGTTGTATCTGTATTCATGTATAAAAACGCTGACTCCCCAACTGCTTCAATGAAATATTTGCCTGAATACATACCACTTTGTGCAAAAAAAACCAAAAAAACAAGTATGCTTCATGACAATACATTGCGTATGCCTCACTACATAACAAGTTTGTACTGTGGCGAAGATAGTGTCACAAAGCCGATCACTGCATCGCAGGTGCAGTATTCGTGGTTTGAAAGAGGCCAATTCAGGGATAAGTAATGTGCACAATTTCCCTTCCACATTCTTTACTTCGGGTCATATCTGCGTCATTTTTACTTAAACGTGTAGATCAAAGCCAACATTATGTATAGCGACCAGATTTGTCATCACATGACCTCAAGCAATCACGCATGCCAATCATTATACTACGTGACGTTTGTCCGTGAGCAGTGTACATCCAAGGGCTTTGCCAATTTCCTGCATGTACTAATAAATTTAATTTTGATCATTGTTAATGGTTGGCAATAAAAACATGCAAGTGTTCCAGACACGAACAGAAATACACAATCAGGAATAACAATTCATGCAGCATTCCATAACTAAATACTGCAGAATCTGGCGCAACAGTGGCCATGCATAATTCAAGAGTAATATGTGTAAACAAAGTGCAGCTATACTTGATAAATGCATACTTTATGATAAACCTATGTTTCACCTTTGTTGAATTTGGCACTCGTGCTTTCATGTCACATAGTGAATCATATCTGAGCTATGCAAGGATTGCATATTGTGGCGAAACTTCATTGCCCATGACCCTTTCAAGTGCTCCTGTGTCTAAATAAATTGCAGAGCACATCCTATTTTGATAATGTTATTACTGTAAAAAATGGTTTCCCAAACAGCACAAGACACCAGAAAATCTTTTGTGCAAACACATTTTATGAAATCAAATATCATATTTACAGCAACTAAGTGACATCAGAATCCAAACAGTAAAATCAAAATACAGGAGGCAGAAACGTGCATCCTTTCTCATATGTATCAAGTTTCAAAGAAAGAAAATCTATTTACAGCACAATCTTTAGTGCACATCTGTGCATGTTCTCAAGACCATATCTGATAATAGTCACGAATTGTCCCAATGAAAGAATGTGTATTCAGTGTGCATTTTTATCCACCACCTATTTCGAAACACCCTTACCGATATGCATACTTTCTACTCTTAGTGTGGACAATTGCTGCAGACATTTTACCAGTCAGCAACAAGCTTTAGAAATTGAGTTGCAATTACCTATTGTAGAACTTAAGTTATATCAGCAAATTATACAGAAATTGTAGAATAACAAAATGTATTTATTAAGCTTTGGCCCTGCTGGCACATGCTTTTAGCCACCGTAGACATAAATGACGGAGATCACAGAGATGATACATCAGATATCTAACGACCAGAAAGAAACACAATGTGATTAGAGGTAAGATATATGAAAAGAAATAAAATTGAATTTTCCTCCCAGTTGACTTCAAATGCAGGGACAAAACAATATTTATAAAACATGTGCTAGTATGGATGTCCATACATTTTCGATTAATTCTAAGTTTGTTGCTACACTCGCAAATTGCAGTATAACGTGCAGGACGCACAGAGCCACAAACTCAAAAGACTAGATGCATAATAGTGAGCACCATTGTTTCAAGAAGAAAATGAGTGGCTGGCTATAATTGCAAACAGTGCAGTCAACGCTTTATTTCTGTAAGCAACAGCATCAGGTTTTCCTTATCTTTACAGAACAACTAATTCAACAAGTAATGTCTTTTGATAACGAGTGCCAGATAAGCCGGAGAGTGTACCACTGCCACTAAAGCAAATGCCTGTTTCAAATATTCCAAGGCATTCAGCAATGACAACATAGTCATCAGCTTAAGTCATAAACAAATGTAATTTTGAAAGATCAATGGGGTCAAACATGTATTGAATCTGCACAAGGTTCACGATGTCAATTTAGTTCCATTGCACCTCATTATGCTGAGGCAGCATAGTTTAGATTTTTCAAAACGTTAGAAAGTTATTCACATGGTGTCCCGATGACACTATCCACAAAAATCTCTCATATTTCAACGCAGGGCAAAAGTGTTGCACATCACCCAATGGCGAAACACTGGCACTCATTCTTTTATCCAAGGTGACATCAAAAAGGTGCGTGTCTATCAAAGCACTCACATACAGACCACGTTCATAACCTGTTGCGAGTAGCTCCAACAAGAATACAGAACGCCATCAGTCTTTTGCCAAACCTGTTTCAACAAGAACACCATCAGCTTGCCAAGTTCACACTTGAAATGCTGTAACATCTTTATTTACAGTGCAGAAGGTGGCCAAGAGCACAATGTACATACTCCAAGCCGTGAATGAGCATTCACACCAACATGGACACATGCATTCAATTCATGAAGTGATGGCATAGCTCCAAATGCATGACATTAGAAAAAATGAAAGAAGAACACTATTTCACACTAAACAGCTCTACCCCTGCTAGTTAAAGCTGGTGCCACGTCACAAATCGAAAGCATACAAATAAAAGAAACACACCTCATGGTCTGATGAGTTGAACAGCAAAACAAAAATGTAGCAATAAGTCTTTTCTTGTACAATTGTTAATAATTTCATTTATTATTACGCAGTCAGGCTGGGACATCGGTATAATGAATGGGTTCAAAACAGCCTTTATTGTGCGTGCATGTGTGTTTGTGCACACACTTTTCAGATGAGTTGTGATATGCGTCAGCCAGAGGCATATTCGTGAAAAAACAGTTTATTTTTCCATTCTTTATGGCAACCAGTTCAAGGAGGTAGACAAGGTACCAAAAGTGGTCAATTTCAATCAGCATTGCACCTTCGCTCTTTACATATCATTATCTTTCCAGCGAGAAAAGTTTCTTACCAATTGTGCCAAGCTGGCACACCAACATGTTCTTTCAAGTGAAAGCAGAAGACCATTTGCAATTGCACAGGCTGCTTGAACAGTGTTTATCCACAAGCGAAATGCAGTCACTTAACAAATCAGTACAAGTTTTCATGAAAAAAAAAAAAAAACTAACTGAAAGTAATGCCCACAGACCAAGCTTTTGTTGCGTCCAAATTAAGAGGCATGTACTGAACATTGCAGCAGCATTGAAGCTGGGAGTGTATGGCAGGAAAGGCAGTTGTCAAAGTCCTAAACATGGCTGCCATGTGGGAACACTCTCACAGGACAGTACATTGTGGCAGGGAAGTAACAAATACTGCCTACCTATTCCTGCATATTCTGCAACTCCCAAAGACACCCCAGCACCTACTGCAATACATACAGGGGAAGGCCAAGAGTTTCAATTGCAAGAATTTGTTTCTTCACAGTCAGTTCTTCTGCATGGCCATCAACAATGTATTTTAGCATTATATGCTCAACACCACGATGCCATTACTGATGCAATAGGAACAATGAACTTGTCATGATCACAATATCCACGACATGCAGGATTTGCAGCACATATACATTGTCCCATGAATGTTGACTGTGCTGTCATTAAAGCCGTGTTTCAGGATAGGCTTCTTGGTTCGGTGCTGGTGGCACTAGCAGCCATGCCACGAACAGTTCTCTGTCAAAAACAAAGAAGGGGGCAGACAAGATACAGTGAAAGCTCGTTAATTCGCACCTCATTAATTCGAACTTTCGGGTTAACTCGAACTGATGGTCATGGTCCGGCCACAATGTATAGGCGTCTATGAGTTAACCAACTCGTTAGTTCATGCGCGCATCGGCTCCTCTATTGATAATTCGAACTGCGCGCCGCTGCGTGGTAGTATTTTTATGCTTCCGCCGCAAGCTTTTACGGCTCTACGATAGATGGCGCAAGGGCTGAGCGCAAATCAATCCAATCCAATCTAGTGCCTGGATACGTGGCCACGTGGCGTCATTGCACGACTGCGACAGGCTACGCGTGGGTGTTCTGTGGGCGACTGCGCGCGCTCTTCGCATCGTGTGGTGGTCGTGTTGGACGCCTCCCCGTGTGCTTTGTGTGCCACACATTCAGTCGCTAGGCCTCGTGTGCGTCAACGCTACGAAGTTGTTCAGTGCCGTGGGTTTTGTGACGGTGTTGCCTTCGACTGCTGGACCTAGCATACCGCACTTAGTGTACATGACTTCTCGCGGAAGAGGACAGAGCGCCAAAACGCTCAAGGAAAAGGTAGAAATCCTTTGTGAAGTGGACTGTGGGAAAACAAGCAAGCTTGAAATCGCAAGGAAGCATGGAATCCCAAAAAGCACTCTTTCAACATATATCAAGAATAAGAGAGCGATTGAGGAGGCCTACGCAACTGATGCGTTCACCGGCAGTCGCAAGAGGCTTCGCTCAGCGAAGCACCCCGAATTGGAGCGCGCAGTGCTCACGTGGATCAAGGAAACGAGGAGCCAAAACATCCCACTGAGCGGCCCTATCGTTATGGCGAAAGCAGCAAACTTCGCGCTTCGCCTCAACATAGATGATTTTAAAGCTTCGGAGGGCTGGCTTCATCGTTTCCGAGAGAGACACGAGATTGTGTTCCGCACTGTGTCTGGTGAAGGCAAAGAAGTCAACAGCGAGACATGCGCAAAGTGGCAAAGCGGTGCTTTGCAAGAACTGCTTCAAGAGTACTCGCCCCGCGATATATTTAATGCCGATGAAACGGCATTATTTTATAAGCTGCTGCCAAGTAAAACGTTGACGTACAAAGGCGACACCTGTGCTGGCGGGAAGAGAAGCAAAGAGCGCGTTACTGTCTTGGTCGCAGCAAACATGGATGGTACAGAAAAACTACCGCTGCTGATCATAGGGAAGGCCCTGAAGCCTCGTTGCTTCAAGAACATCCGCACACTACCGGCAGAGTATACAGCCAACAGCAAGGCATGGATGACGCGGGAAATATTCAAACAGTGGCTGATAAAGCTTGACCGCAAGTTTGAATTAGCTCACAGAAGCGTGCTCTTGGTAGTCGATAACTGCTCAGCGCACGTGGTTGATGTGGACTTGAAGGCGATCAAGCTCTCGTTTCTGCCGCCGAACACAACGGCAGCCTTGCAACCAATGGACCAAGGGGTCATTAAGAACTTGAAATGCTTTTACAGGCGCCACATGTTGGAGCGTTTGGTGTTGTGCGCCGCCGGTACAAAAGGCTACGACGTGACGCTGCTCTCGGCCATGCATATGTTGGTGCGGGCCTGGGATCAGGTCACGGCAACAACTGTTGCCAATTGCTTCCGCCACAGTGGCTTTTGTGTGGCCATTGAGGGCACAGCGGGCGAGCTCGATGAGCGTGAGGCCGACGTCATTCCTGCCGGACTGCGGGATGCGCTGGGGGACGTGAACTTCGGCGACTACGTCGATGCAGATCGCAGTGCAGTGGTCTGTGGCACTATCACCGACGACGATATCATCGCCCAGGTGACTGGCGAGGAAGCACTCGTCGTCGACGTGGGTGAGGACGAGGAGGATGAGGCGCCGACGCGTCCGACAGCTTCGGAGGTAATGGAGGCTATGCGTGTCGCGCGCCTCTTCTTCAGCTTCGAGGAAGATGAAGAGGATGCCTTCCGCCACGTTCGCGCATTGGAAAACAAAGCGATGGCAATCACTTTCAAAGAAAGGAAGCAGAAAGTTATCACAGATTACTTTCGCAAATAAATATTTTGTCTCATCTTCAAACAAACCGATCTCAATTCTTGCTGTTTTTTCAGTGAATTTCGTTAGTTCGAATTCGGTTTAATTCGAACTCATTGGGCATCCCCGCGAAGTTCGAATTAACGAGCTTTTACTGTATCTCTGCTTTGTACAGTGTGCTCAGCCTCAACACTGTGCTGGCCAACATATTAGGAACAATGGGGCATAGTGGGTGCTCAGTAGATCACTTCATACACGGTGGCCTTCTTGTCTCCCGAGCCAGTGACGATGTACTTGTCATCAGAAGAAATGTCACAGCTCAGAACTGACGAGGACTCCTTGGACTGTAAACATGTCCACGCAGAAAAGACACAATTTTGTTAGGAAAGAGCACAAAAACAGCACATCAAGCCATATCAACAGATAATATAACAAAAGGAAAACTGAAATGAGTTTTGTTAATGCTTCCTTTCGAACTCCCCCCATAAAAAAGCTATCTTTCATCAACAGGCCTCTCTCTATCAACCTTAAGGAATTAAACTTGCTGAAAAAAAACAAGGCAGAAATACATGATGCAATGCAGTTTCTTCGATGACGAGCAACACATGCAAATGAGATTGCTGCTAGCCCTTAAAGAGAGGAAGCTGGGCAGGCATGCCTTTTTAATTCCCAATCACTCGTCATCAAACAAACATAGGAAATATCATGCTTTTTTTAAAGATGAAGGAAGCTTTCGAGTAAAGGCATGCAAGACTGTAAAGCAAGGTGGAATCTTAGATAGGTATGTTTGGGATACAGAAGACTTCTGACATGTTGTGGACAGAAATATATGACATTACTTAAGCCACAACAAGCTTTACAGTTTGGTCTCATGACTTCATGGCCATAAAAGAAAATACTTTAAGAAGCAGCCCGATTAACAATGATCTTGTAATGTCATTGCACTTGTTCATGGTTAATAGAGAACAGAGCAAAAGGGCAATAAACAATGAATGCACTGACAGAATTATTTACAATAAATTATTTATGACCATAAAATGTATGCAAACATTGAAACAATGCAAGAACACAATACGATAACCTTATTTATTAATTTTGAATGTGGCTGTTTCCTCTTTTATTTAGCTCATTCATTATGTATGTGTCCTTATGTTTGACTGCTGTGAAGCTGCCCTGTGTACAAGGTGGCCATATCGCCCTCAAGCTGCTCAATGCAGCTTTTTTCCTTGGTCATCCTCACAACCATGTTACAGAAAAATTTCTATAAAAAAACATTAAGCACAAGTATTGCATTTCTATATACTAGAGAGAGCAACAAAGAAACTTCCGGTGACTGTCACATGCAGGAGAGCCATGTGACTGGAGCAGAAATGTAACATATCATGTCACTGGTAGTATGGCACATTGTTGACGAGTCTGGTCCTGGTAGCAGCAAAGCTGGCTAGCATTGCTGCTGTTCATGGTATCTTCCCAGGAAAATACCGGGAACATAAAGTGGCACAGCATAGGTCACTGGCTCCTTACTGACACCAGAGAAACTAGTACTGACACTAGCAAAATAGTGACACTTGCGCAATGCCAGACATAACCTTTCTCTTTCATTCAAATTTAGGTGCTGGTATGCAGGGCGGCACTAGGATTTTTTTGCTGCAGAGGGGCACCTACAACAAGATTTACAATGGGAGAGAGGTTGAAACATTACGGAGCTGTTGCACCCCCCTTGCCTCTCACTGGTGTTGCCTCCCGTAGTTGAGTTCACATGTGACATTTCCGCAAAGGTTTTCTAACTCTGCTAGATGTGACAGTAACTGGAAGTTCCACTATTGACATCTATGTTATTAAACATGCACCCAAATAATAAGAACCCCCTATTAAGCATTATAAAAAAATTAAACAGGGACACTTAAAACATTATAGGTGGAAATTTACTCCAAATAACAAACACGATGTAGGAACAGTGAGATGCACCTATTTACACTTTCTACCATCCATCTGCACTAAATGGACTAGCCTTTTCTTAAATTTAAAAACAAACCTGGAATATGGATGCACCGTAGGGTGTCCTCCAGGCATTGAGCAGGTTATCCTTGCCCGTGGAGACAAACCACTTGCCACACGATGCAAACTTAAGTGACAGGACACAGCTTTCATGCAGGTGTAACTGGTACTTGTCTGGCTTGCTGCAGTGCAGAACTTCCACGTTGCTGCTCTCCATGCTGCATTGAACAAAAAAGGCCACCAGCCATTGAACAGTTATTTATCATATCGCATGCCTTACCGCAGCAGACTCAGTCAGGCCGCCCCTTCCAAGTGCAAGAATAACGTGAAAGAATAAGACTAATGTGAATTCAGTGGCTCACTTCTGCTGGAATGATTCATATATCCACTTCCCCACTCTCCACACTATTTTTTCTACAATGAATGTTCTAGTACACTGTACCAAAAAAAATTTCTTGAATGAGTTTAGAGGGTTTTTGCTTCCTCCTTCCAAGAGTGGGAGACTAACACATATAGCTCTGGGTGTTATCTCCGTCAAATGAAACTGAAACAGCGGCAAGCCTTCGTGGTGGTATAGTGCACGCCCTCCACTTATCACCATGAACAGGCACGCAAATAAGCACAGAGTTGCTGAACAGGTTGCGCGCGCCTGTCAATTATGATAACTGGGCAGCCCACATTATACCATAGCAAAGGCTTGCCTCTGTTCGGGTTTCATTTGACGCAGATAGTACACATATTCAATGCATATTTTAAAAGGGTGAAATACTTGAAGACAATGTGTCTGCAAGGCTTGTTGTGCACATGGACAATACCTTTCCAGTTTTGACATTCAAGGAACAAGTGGTAGGACCTGAACACCAAAATAAATGCTGCCTGTGCCTTCACTCAACAATTGTCAGGATCTTACATCGAAAGTGTACGTCACTTATTATGAACTAACAGGAGCAGTTATATACAATGAAAGCTAATTTATATGTAACCACTGGCACCAACCTACAGACCCCTAGTGTGCTATGCCCATTGTGTTTCACATTAAAACGGTAGCTAAAAAAGAAACAGGAAAGAGTAGAGGAAGCTTACCCGACAGCCAGCCACTCCCCTGTGGGACAATAGCCCAATGAGAAGATCTGCGATGTAAAGTCGTGCTGCTGCAGCTGCCGACCCTGAGTGCACAATGACATGAAACACACAGTAGTCAGGGAAGGTATAGCAAGTAAATGTCAGTAAGGCACAAATAATGATTGCTTGTAGGGTTCTTGCAGGGGCATTTGGTTTGCTATGAATTTTATTATGACTATGTTTTGTAGGGCACACAAATGTTTATAAGCTTGTAATACAATGAAGCACACAGAAGGCTTTTGTTTTAAAAAGAACCAAGGAGAAAAATTCAACAGCAAGGAGATGTCTTGGAATAAACTGCCCCCTCTGAATTGTATGAACATGAATATAACAAATTTCTAGATATAATAAAGCAATTATCAGCACATAGTTGATAGGTGCCCATAAAAACACTGTGCTGATTCAAGTTGGACGTGACATTTTTATAACAAATTTCTACTGCAGGAACCTGCGTTGCATAGGAAACACAAAGTACTTACCTCACGAAGGTCCCAAGAGCGCACAGTGTTGTCTAGACCACCAGTCCACAGCTTAGTGCCATCACTTGAGATGTCGATGCAACTTGCACCGTCAGTATGCCCCTGGAACTGCCTGCAGTCAAATTCGAAAGGCTCTCAATGCATGGACATAGCTACCTGCCACATAGACGACCTAAAAGTTAACTGAATTGACATATACAGTCGACTCTCATTCATTAAAACTAAAAGAGACCTCTGAATTTTGTTTTAATTATCAAGAAGTCTGAATTATCAGAAGTCACCAGATAGATGACTCTGGGTGAGGCAACACCGCACATTATGATTATTCATTGATTTTATCACACTAAAAAAATTTTTAAGCATTTTTAAGCTCTAATTACACACAATGAACAGAAAGCAGAGGTGTAAAGTGCACAAGTTTATTGGCCATTTACTGTTCATCAGACCTTTTGATGAATTGCCAACTGCTTCTTTGCTACAAATATGTGCCCTCAGCACAAAGCTCTCTATACCAGTTGAGAAGCATCACGGTTTACCATGCGTGTGCTTTGTTTCAAAAACTTGTTTTCTAGGGAAGCCCCCCCTTTTTTTTGAAGGCCTGAAGTGCTTATTTTTTATTTTTAGACATTTAGGATTATATAAGCATGCAAATTTTTAAATAGTGGTGGGAAAGCAGCAGATATTTTTTTGGTATCAAACTCCACAAAGTATGCATTAACTGATTAATTGAACTAAGAGGCTTTTAAATACATTGAAAGAATAGAGGGCCAACCAAAAAATTTAATTTTGTTTGAATTAACTGAAAGTTTGAATTATCGAGAGTCCACTGTATGATGTATTTGCTAAAGATTGTCTGCATTAAATCAACTTAACATTGCTAATAAGAAAGTCAACAAGTTTAATAGATCATATCTGACACAGGCAAATAAGGCCAATTCGAAGTCATACTTAATTCAAACTTCTCCTGGGTAAATATTATTACCATAACCATGGCCTCGTAGGAACATAAGGCAACCCATTGTTTGTTTTCTGTGCAGAATAACTTTATTTCCCATTAGCTGCTAAGTTTGAGCAAAAGTGTGCCAATTCAAAGAACACAATGCACAAGAAGAACACACATTTGAATGAGTACACTTTTGTTCAAGTACGCAGTATGAACTCATCCAGCAAATGACCCTTCTTCAGTTGCCAAGGGTTATGCATAACCAATCTTATTATACTGTTAAAGGGCCCTGAAACACGTTTGCAAGTAAGCATAGAATGAATTCACTGGATGAGCTTATTGCCTCACGAATTCAACGCCGCAAAAATTTTAAGAGTCCGTCCAGTGCAAGTAGAGCTACAAAGGTTTGTCGCATGCTGCAATTGGATTCTCTCTTTTCTTGTCCCAACGAAAGCACTGCAAGCTAAGCAGGGAAAGATGGCAGGGCCACAGAAAAACGTCACGTGCGCTTCGCTACCTTCAGCACTTTTTTCCTTTTTTTTTTCTTAGAATGCACAGCTTTTTCAATGTGATCGCGTGCACACACGTGGACAAGTAGCGGCCTCCCGCGGCGATCTCTGTAACAACCGAGCGTGCCAAGTTCAAGTTAACCAATGGCTGATAGATAGGCTTACTACAAGTGATTTTTGGGCTTATTCCATGATTTGTCGAGAGAAAACTATTTTTAGCTAACTTTGATCATTTATTGTGAATTCCAGTCTGCGTGCTGCACTATAATATTTGGCTAGCGTGTTGTCGGGAGCCTCGGCTACCAATCAGTGGAGTTTTCTGACCATGCTCAAAAAGTGTTGCAGGGCCCTTTTAAGATAAGAAAAATTTAGTGTACACATACCTGACAAGCGTCTGGTTGTGCAGGTCCCAGACAGCAATGTTTCCATCTGAGCAGCAACTGAAGCAAACCTTCGAGTCGGGGCTGATGGCCAGGGCATAGCAAGCTGGTGCACTAGAAGTCAGCTCGGCCTTGATGCGCGGAGTTGGCTGTGGTACGATAAACTCAAGTCACCGCCAGTGCAGACATATCACAAAACTTCCACATTCCTCATCTAGAGAAATCACGCTATTTATAACACACACAGTTAAACAAAGCAGAATACGATGAACCAGGCAATGCAGATGCTCGCACATATTAAATTACTCAGTGTTACTGCCATAGAGATTGCGAACAAGGGACCTGTAACGACCCCAAAACATCAATGTATGTTTGTTTTTCCTTTGGACAAGGTGAGTGTCTTTTTAATTTTTTTTCAGTGTTGCTGCCGCAGTTGGCACAAATGATCACAAAGCGTTGAATTTCGATAAAGATGGAAGTCAGCAATGTGTCCTTCACACGCAAGTGCAAGCAACTTCACTTTGAACAGTAGTGAAGTTAAAAATCAGATTAAGGGCATGCATCACACGTTTCTCTCGCAATGAAGGCAAGATATCACTGAGCCACTTGCATGATATTTTTCAGTGTGAATGCAAGTAGATTATAATCTGTAAAATAATAGAAAAACCATTCCCAAGCATCATCATAAGCAGTGGTAATGATAATGACATTGTCGGGACCAATAATCATGGTAAGAGCAAGTTGCAAACAGGCATTTTTTACATGCACAATACATATTTTCTACATGCACAATACAAAGCTTTAGTAGCCTCACAAATCTATTGCTCTACTCAGAACATATAGAGTCAAATCAATCTTCAGCTATGTTTTATATTTCATCTTAACTTAAATAAGACAATAGCCTAAAGTCATACCCATGAGCCTCTGCCCAAGTAACTGAATAGGCGAATACCAGTAACCTCAGAAGCAGGCTTCTTTTACCTGTATAGCTGCCAGCAAATGTATCTCCTATAATTTGTACTATACTCCAGGTCATCCTTCACGTTAACAAACATGTTCCAGCTTTAACTAAAAAATATGTGATATGCAGTGTTATGTGACAACCTATATATAGCACACAGTGCAATCTTGGCTGGTCACTCATTGCAAAATAACTTTCAACAGTGCACTTACCGCACCCAGATCCCAGATGCAAATGGTACTAGCTTCTCCGCCCACGATAAGTGTTCTCCCATCAGGAAGGAGCTTGCAGGATCGGATGTAATTGTCCCTTTGCTGAAACAAGGACGCATAGCATAAAGAGATAAAAAAAACATGCTGCACAGCCATCCACCCTCCCCCTACGAATAAGGTAGCTTTCTCCCGAAATGCAATGTTAAGGCCGAAATGCATGAACTAGAATATATTAATTTTGAAAAAGAAATGTGAACTTACTGATGAACATAACATAAAAATAGAGAGGAAAGAGGGTTCCCCTGACAGAATTTAAAATTTTAACGTTAGTTTAACAAGCCTAAAAATCGATGCAAGCATGTTTTTTGACAAGCTCAAAAACTCCTTTAACACTCGGTTTGAGATCCTGGAATATACACCACCAACAATATTTCTGTAATTATTTCCAGCAGACCAATATTGCATTTCATATAGCTGATTCTTTCTAGAGGCAGAAAAGTGGCACATATATATATATTTAAAACAAGTTTCCTTAAGTTGCACAAATTTGTGGCCTCGCAACTTCAGCTATTCATAAGTGTGAGGGTGCAACTCAAATATAACTAATGCTATATCAAGAACACATACACTTCCATCAAATTTTTTTAACATCCTCCATGTATGCCCTGTTCATAAAATCAGACAATCAGCATTATACACTATTTTCATACAGAGTACACTCACAAACGTATTCAGTTTCAGTCAAATTCAGGAGCAAGTTTAAATGAACCAGTACTTTCAACCTGGCACACGTAAAAACTAGGCTTGTGCGTACAGTGAATTTTAGGTTTGAAGCGAATTTCCTGACAGAAGACTTTCCTGACAACCATACGAATCCGGGAGACTTGGCTGGTATGCTATAGAGTGACACCATCTTTACAGAGGGTAACATGCAGACTAATATACATTTAAACAGGTCGCAGCCTAGCATCCCCTTACTGCAGTCAAACCATCTTTACAAAGCTTACATGCGGATTAAAGGGGCCCTGCAACACTTTTTGAGCATGGTCAGAAAACGCTGCCGATCGTTAGTAGAGGCTCCCAACTACAGGCGAGCAAAATATTATAGCACAGCATGCGGCCTGGAATTCACAATGAATAACCAAAGTCAGCTAAAAATTGCTTTCTCTTTCCTCGACAAATCACGTTATATGCCCAAAAATTGCACGTCAACGACCCATCAGCCCTTGGCTGATTTGAACATGGTGCGCTCGGTTGTTACAGATATCACCGCGAGAGGCCATCACTTGTCCACGCATGCATGCGCAATCACCCTGACAAAGCCGCGTATTCGTAAAAGAAAAAAATAAAAAGTGTTCAAGGTCACAAGGCCCGAGTGATGTTTTTTTTTTGCCCCTCCTATCTCTCCCTGCTTAGCTTCCAGCACTTTTGTTGGGATGAGAGAAGAGAGAATGCGATTGCAGCATGTGAGAAATCTTTGTAACTCCGCTCATACTGGACGGACTTAAAATTTTTTACGGCATTGAATTTGTGTGGTAATATGCTTTTCCAGTGAAGTAACTCCATAGTTACTTAAAAAAAAGTGTTTCAGGACCCCTTTTATTTACATTTCAAAAACTGCTTTCACGGCTTATCACTCCTATACTGCAGCGAAACCACCTTTACAGGAAGCAAAGCCACCTTTACATGCAAATTAATACACATTTCTTCGTTCATTAATTCAAATACTTTGAAAATTTCAGTAATTTAAACTTGAATCAAAACAAATTTAAATACTGCTATATTCGTTATCAAATATTTGAAGCATTCGCACAAGCCTAGTAAAAACATTTCTATGCACATTATATGCGTTATATCAGAACTTACCAGGCAGTCAAGCTGTGAAACAGGGCTCTTGGATCCTGGCTGACTGATGTCCCAGACCTTAACACATCCTTTTCCCCCAGTGTAGACATACTTGGTGGGGCTCGATATGGTCACTGCACACACCACTTCACCATGAGACAGCGTATTGATCTGTCGTGCATGCCGTGGAATGCCGGCACCCATAAGTGCGTCTGGTGGGAACGGCACTGGCTGCATCTGGCCTTCTGCACTCACATGGAATGAATAGGCCCTGCACAAGATTTCACATGGAGAAGTGAATGTTTGGGAAACAAACTTGGGAAAAATATTCATGTGCAAGAGCTAGAGTAACTTTCCCGTGTTGCTTGTTCCTGGGCATGGTCTTTAAAAATGCTCATTATTTCCACATCAGCACAATGAACTGAGCTATGAACAATTTTAGTGATAATGACAACAGAATGATACACTACATCTCATGCCCTTGCTTTTATGACAAAACATTAATTTTGCATTCTGACTAGATGGCAGAGCACCAATAGGAGAGAAGCTGATGAAGCGTCGATTCAGTCTGTAATTACAGTTTTTTCAACCTCCCTTGAATAGAGAATGCCATTGTTGGGAATGCCCACATCAATATTTGTAACCAGTGTTGAACCTGCCTGCAGGGTGTTTTCCACAAAGCTGGTTCGTGCCGTCACTGCTTGGGCACCTGCTATAGCATACACAGCACAACCACTTGCCATCCGCGTGTTCGTAAATGAGACTTTTTTGGCCGGTGTGCCACTTTTGATCGTGCACAGGTGGAAGAACTTTAATAGGCCATGGGTATATTAAGCCATCTTTGACTGGTTGTTTCGGAGCACTCTAGAGAACTTTCCTGATAAAGAAGGAGGTTGCATCGTTTCTTTTCCTAAATTTCTCTCTCTCTCAGGAGAGCGCTCTAGAGTGCTCCGAAACGACCAGTCAAAGATGGCATTATAGAGCCAACACAGTGACGCAGTGCTATCATTTTTGCACAGTTACATGCGATCGATTATTGTAATCAATTGTATTTTCTTGTCATTTTATAATCAAATTGATAACTTTTTAAAAACTGTAACATTCTAGGTTATTGAATTACATTTTCTTAGAACTGATCAACAGTAATCAATTACTTTATTTTTCCTATGAACACAAGGTGTAACCAATCTTCTATAACAGTTCAAGTCCCGAAATATATGCGGCCGCTGTGTAGGGACCTTTCATCAGATATGCAGTTCCCGCAGGACCTATTCTTTCCCCCTTTATTTTTTTGGCCTTATGTGCGATGCCTTGCCAAAGAACCAGCAAGAGCAAAGCACAATGCTTCATTGAGTACACGGCTACTGGCATCAAAGCACTACAAGCTGGTGCACAAGGTTTCCTCCAGCACATGCATTCAGAGAGTGTTCAGTGTAGTAGGTGGCCCCTTAACAGGAAAACCTTAAAGAATCCGCGACGACAACCTCGAAAAACAACTCTAGTTGAAAGATGACATGTACTGATATCCCAGAAGCCACAGTTAGCCACCCAGTCTTCATGAAAACCTTCAGCCTTCTCTCTATCTTCTTTCTACCACAGCAGTTCGTTGTAGTTACAGCAAACTTGTGTTACTGTGTTAAAGCAATCAAATTTTGTTAAAAAGCAACTGAAAAGTAATCTATTACATTTTTGTAACTGCTTAGTTACTTTTTTATGTAGGTGATCAATTATACTTTTATAGAAAAATTGTAATTGTAATTGGTTACATAATTGGTTTTCATGCACAAGCTAACTAAAGTGCCGCTGTTTTGTTGAGATCAACCACAGATTTCCCCAAGAACAGTAATCTAGAAACTGTACCCAATCCTGCCTTGTACACACTATGGGCTATATAAAATTGTAATTATGCAAATAAATGCTTTCTCCCTTGTTTTTAATATTCAGGTTGATATTTAAAGAATGAAGAAATTAAACGAGCATCAGTCCAGTTAGTCAGCAGTGGAAATCCAGAAAAATCACAAGGGGAGACACGCATCTTGCCATGGCGGCCATTTTGTTTAAATAAATGCTGTATATTTTGTTTATACTTATATATAAATTGAAAGCATGCCTTGAAATCAAATTGAAAAATGAATATGGTTCCGCATCTTGCATAATTGCATTGTTCCATTAAGGCCTTTCTGAAACAGATTAAACGGCAGTTTAGATTTCAATAGGGTGACAGTTTAGAAGTACTGAGAAGTACATGCAAGAAAAAAAAAGGAGAGAAAAACGTTGAATGTGCTATACATAACTGTCAAGCCATTCAGACATGTAAGCTTAGCTTTGAAAGCTAAATCTCAACGTGGGATGCTAGCAAGAGGTCCCGAGCGTGAGAACAAAGGGGGTCAGAACTTTCCTGACCCCTCCACGATTTAAACCACTGCATGCAGTTAGTATTCAATGCATTTCAATTTTAATACAGTTAAAAAAATTTAATTGTGGTTTACGAGATGCCGAAATGTTGCATGGTGCCATTGGCTCGGGCACAAGATACATAAACAAGTCTTGTCAGAAGAAAAAAGAAGTGGCTGTTTGGCTTGTGAGAAACAGCAAAGTTTTTAGATAACTATCGATGGTTTCTATAGTTACAGCTGCCCTATGCCCTAGCATGCTTTACCACCTTACTCCAGCCTCCAAACACAGCCAACTTTAGCAGTGAAGATAGCAGTTTGAAATTATGAAAGAAGACTTGTTTTTGCAATGCGCAGTATCATGGGAGACAATGGAAAGAGGTCACCATCACAATAGACACCGTTCAGTCAAGTTTTCCAGTCTGACTACAGCGCCAGAATACATTGCCTAGCGGATAAAAAAAGAAACATTGAGAAAGCCTCGGTGAAAATGGAACGCGACGCGAGCGTCTCGCGCTCTGTATCAGTCGGCGAATTGTGCCCGGGATACATTGGGCACGCGAGCACGAGTCTCATTTCTGTGTGTCCTTAACGGCGAATGCCAGAAAATTTGGGACGGGGCAGTGGGAGCAACGCAGCTCCCTCTGGTCAGTGTGCGGTGTCTATGGAAAAAAGAGCACCCGTACTGCCGAGCCCCAGGTCAGAGTACCTCTCACCCCATGAGAAAAACTAGTAGGTATGTGCACGGTGGTATTGGGAATTGCGCTGAAGGCGGATGCTCTACCCCTTGACTATCCCTGCTGCTCTTTGACCCTTCACTGAGGGGCAAGGAGCCACTGACAACTTGGGAGCCACTGACAACTTGGGAGCCACTGACAATGTTCTGCCTGGCCGGGTCTGCACTGAACAGACCCGGCCAGGCAGAACATTGCCTGTGACCAGGCCGCCCATGTCATGGAACTGCAAGAACCTCTGAACGTGTAGAGCGATGGGGTCATAAGAGGACCCTGTGATGTACAAGCCCGAATCTTCTCTTTCTTTTCATCTTTGCATACCCCGAAATGCATCAATTCCAGTCATTTGGAATGGTGTCGTTTTCTCTAGTTTCATTACCAGAATACGTCAAGTTTTTTTTTTTTTTTCTTATATTCAAGTGGAAGACTATGCATAAATGAAAACTTCCATGCAACAGTAATTGTTCACATGGAGAAGATAAAAAACTTTTCGCTGAGTAAACAGTCCCTGATTAAGCAGTTTCTCCACATCAGGCTCCGGAGCCCCAACAATTCTCTAATGCCAAAAAGAATGCTAGTGATGAACAGATATTTTGAAGAAAGCCTTAAAAAAATTCTGACTGTAATTTGGCGACAGGCACAGACATTTTTTTTTCACCCCCAAAGAAAGAAGGATGGGTGAGTCTGACTTCATCCTCATTGGCTATGATAACTGTTGCATAATTTTTATTATCAATAATAATAATAACTTTATTCACACTCTTGTGATCATCCTAATGACACAGCAGCTCTGTGAAGGAAAGGCTTCTTGAGCTTGTCAAGAGCAGCACTCTGGTGCTGTGCAAAAATACTTCTGTAGTCGGGGGGGGAGGGGGGGAGGACATATGCATTTCCTTAGAATCAGCACATGGTTGGCTGGCAGTCATATTGGGCAGTTTTCCCTCGAAGCTCTCAACAATGGACAAACTGCTTAAAGACTGCGTAATGATTGGTACAATGAATGGAGCAGAATGACAAGCCTTAATGATGATCCTTAATGATGATGGTTAAGTGAATGATGCAAGCATCAGAGCTGACAGTGGCATGATGATTGTGTGATGCTTGTACACTACCTGGCAAGAATTAACATTAAATGGGTACTGACACAAAATTTCACAACTGAGATGGCCTGCAGGATTCATTCACATGAACATGTGTATATAATCTGAAAAATATCCAGAGCAAATATAGTTTGGAAGGTACTTCACAGCAATTTTGAAGTTTGAATACTAAAGGTATTGACACCATCTAAAGGCACTCCTTGGAGAACCCCTCACTTCCCTCATGTAACCCAGACAGCACTGGTATAATCGTTCTCGCACCGTTCTCATTGACCTTGGTATTCACTGAGGACTACACGAGTTGGTTTGACCCGGAAACGTCTTTTCGAGTGCTTTCTGAGAACAAAAACCTATTCTGAAAAATTCGTTTCAAGGACTTTTTGGGGGGTGACAAAAACAATACACTAGCGCCGGGTCAAGCGTCTTTTCGAGTGCTTTCTGAGGACAACAATTGGTCCGGAAATGTTATTGCCAAAGACCTTTTAGAGATGACAAAAGCATTGCGCAGTGAGCACTTAGATATTATTTCTCGAGACCTTTGCGCACCAAGTGGATGCATATTTTATGTGAAAATTTTCTATGCACGTTCATTTACTAATAGAAACCTTACCGTAAAGATGCACATAGTGTCTCTAGTTCTAGATATGGAACTTGAACCCTTTCGTAAATTTCTTTGAGTATTCTGACACTGTTGCTAACCAAACATAATGTTTTAGGCAGTAACGATGAACCGTTTAAGAGGTCATGACATGGTATACCAATAATTTGTGTTTTTCAGCAAAAAATAGAAGTAGAGGGTCTATTATGCCTATACAAGTCTGTAATGTGTGCCATAAAAAAACATTTCAGGGCAAAACAAGCTTTAGAAGTGGCCAGCTGTAAACCCTGCCCACAGCCGGCGGCCGCCATTTCGCTATGGTGTGTGTGCCGTCATGAGCTGGAAGGAGAGGAGCCGTCACCTTCTACTGAAGTTTCAGCCATAGTAAATCATTCAATTTCAGCGCCGCTAAAGCATCTCATTTTGATGCACAACATATAGCACGA